TTTCTTCTAATTCCTTTTTTTATTCTGAACTTTGTATTTTCAAATAGCCTGTTTTCAAGCTCACTGATTCTTTCTTCTGCTTGATCAACTGTGCTGTTGATGCCCTTTATTGCATTTTTATTTCATTTATTATACTCTTCAGGTCTAGGATTTCTGTTTGATTTTTAAAAGTTATTTCAATTTCTCTGTTGAATTTCTCTGACAAATTTCTGATTTTTTCTCTATGTTTTTTAAAGTTCTTGAGTTTTCTTATAACAGCTATTTTGAATTCTTTGTTTGCCAGATTTGTATTTTGGGATTAGTGACTGGCACCTTATTTTGTCCATTTGGTGAGTCCATCTTTTCTAGGCTATTCTTTTTTTGTATTTTTTTAAATTGATATTTCATAGTTGTACATATTTTGGGGATAATAGGCCGGCTATTCTTATTTCTTATAGATGTGCAACTCTTTCTACTCATTGACAAATTAGATATTTATTGCAGTCTTCACAGTCTGGTTTTGTCACTGTTCTATTTCAGTGGGCTTGCTTAGAAATTCTGGGCTGCTGAGTATTGTATTCCATTTCAGCACTAGAGAGTGACTTAAGTGCAGGTCACATGTGAGTCTCATGATAGCTCCACCTTTGATGCAATGTCTGAACTGGATGGAGGTGGGAGATGTCTTGGGGGGAGGGACATTACAGTCACAGAAAACCAGTCCCCTTACCATCCAACTGTGGTTTTACTTATCTTTGCACTCCAAAGATGCTTCACACCCTCACTCATGTGTTTGGTTCCCTTAGCTCTTGTGAAGATAATTTTGCATGTAGATTGTTGTTCAAATTAGTGTTTCCGCAGGGGTGCAGTCACTGTAGTGACCTACTCTACCATCTTGTTCTTTCCCTTTTCTAGATTAATCTTATCAAATTTTGGGAGTTCTTTATATAATATGGATACAAGTCCCTTATTGGAATATATGCTTTGTAATGATTTTCTCCCAATCCGTGGATTGTCTTCTCATTCTCTTAACAGTGTCTTTTGGAGAGAAGTTTTAAAATTTGATGAAGTCCAAATGGTCAATTTGGTCTTTTAAGGTTTGTGTCTTTGGGGTTGTATCTAAGAGAACTTTGCCTAACACAAGGTCACAACAGTTTTCTCATAGAAATTTTATCCATTTCAGGTTGTACGTTTAGTTCTATAATTCATTTTGAGTTAGAATATGGTATAAGTTATGGATTGAAGTTAATTTTCCAATTGATTCAGCACCAGTTGTTGAAAAGGTTTTCCTGAATGGCTGAATTGCCTTTCCACCTTAGTAGTTCATATATGTGTGAGTCTATTTCTTTGATTCCTTATTCTTTTGTATTGATCTATTTAATTTATGTCAATCCAGAGTTTTGTTCACTCTAGCTTTATAATGTCCTGAAAATAAAATAATGTTAGCCCTCCAACTTTGTTCTTTTTTCGAAGTTGTTCTGTCTATTCTAGTTTTTTAGATTTCTTTATGAATTTTAGAATCAACTTGTCAATTTCTACCTAACTATTGAAAGCCTACTGGGTGTTTTGATTGGGATTGAATGGAATCTATAGATTATTTGGGGGAGATTTGATATCTTAACTCTGTTGAGTCTTTCAATTCATGAACCCATATAGTTATCCATGTATTTAGGTTTTCTTTAATTTCTCTTATTATAAAAATCTTTCACACTTATAGAACATTCCATTCAACAGCAGCAGAATACAAACTCTTTTCAAATGCACGTGGAATATTTGCCAAGATAGACCCTATCCTGGGTCATAAAACAAGTCTCAATAAATTTAAAAGGATTCTAGTCATACAAAGTATGTTCTGTGGTCATCATGGAATTAAGTTAGAAATCAATAACAAAAGATCTCTGGAAAATCCCAAAACATTTGGAAAGAAAATCAAACACTTATAATTAATACAAGTCAAAGATGAAATCAAAAGGGCAATTAGAAAGTATTATGACTTTGTATTTTGAAAATGAAAATGGAACATGTCAGAATTTGTGAGATAAAATATTAAGAAAATATTATAGTACCATTTATAATAGCATCAAAAAGTATTAAATTCCTAGGGGATAAATCTGACACAGCTACTGTCAAACTGTAGCTGATGAAGTACACAGGGTTTTAAAACCTTGACTATACTTTGTCCCACCCTCTGTCCTCCTATCCTGGCCTCCTATTGGTGGAACCCAAGTGTAGAAGAGAGGGCAGAGATTGTTGATGAAGTTTATAAAGGTGAGCTTCCCCAAACAGAGTGGAAAAGTGTGGAAAATGGGTTCAGAGCAGCAAATACAGACAACCTAGCACAATGATGAAGCTCTAAGTTGCAGACCCCACAGCACTGTTAGCTAAACCCTGCACATAACTTGGATGCACATTGGTCACAAGTGAACAAAGTACCCAGTATATGTGAAGATGGAGATTTGGGGCCTCCACCGTGAGCTGTAGCACACACTGGTTGCACCAGTTAGTGTTGTACAAGAAGAAACTTTGTGCAGTTCAAAGTGCTCAAGTGAAGGTGACAGTATCATAAAAAGCCTTTTTCTTTAGCACGGTCATACATCCCATTGAACATGTCATACAGAGGATCTCAATAAATACTGCTTCAGTAACTCAGCAGCTACCTTGTATGTGCCACAGCAATTGACTTTATTCCTTAATATTCTACCAGCCCCAGGCTACTCATTACTTATTCCTCAATAGCTTATCACCCTTTGGGAAAGCAACCACCATCCAAAAGCTGCTCTCTGTGTCTCCAGATCTGGTCTTAAAGTCATCAACCTGACACTGAAGTCAGTGAGCATGTTTTATTCATTTTTGAATCTTGCAAAGTGCTTTACAGAAATATTAAATAAAAATGAGTTTAATGTTTTTTCTGTGTCTTCAACTGTGACCATTTACTTGGCATCAGATCATATACCAACACATGGTGGCAAACTGATCTTTCTCTACTTATTCTTTTTGTGGTAATTTTTATATCGTAATTTCCATACAGAAATTTCTCATGATTCATCTACATTTTAAAAGCTTTCTTTCATTTATTTGGCATTTGTTTCCACTATTCATGTTTACTCAACAAAGAATATGTTTTAAATTTGTAACTATTTGTTTCCTTGCAGTCCTATGAAATGATAGCTTGAGTAAATGAAAAATTTCCCCTAAGTCCTGACTATTGATTTTGTTTATTTTAGTAAAATTTAATATTGGCCAGAAAACATTCAGCCCTCTGATCATTCTCTATAACCCACAAAAGCAGCCAAATGCTTAATATAAGCTGCTTCATCAGAATAAATAAGAAGAATCTCCATTACATACAAAAGAAAATATAACTGGGGAGTTAGTCTCTGCTCTGAGATTATTATCCTGTGGTCTTTGATCTTGGTACAACCTTCCCCCAAACCCCCACCTCGATGTTTAAGGAGAATAATGTCTACTTTTAAATCCCTGCAGTCTTGCACCAAGGTCATTTTATCCCCCACTGTGTCACAATCTCAAGACCACCAGGATTCTGTTTGGGGTTACCATGGACGCAGAGTCATTGTTTCAGTTCTGGTTTTCTTGCAGCACCAGGTAGGACGTAGGGATCAGGGTCTCTGAGCAAGGGAGTCTCATCCCATCCTCTGTTCTCTATTTCAGCTAAAGTTGCTCTTTTATCCTCACCAAGAAAATTAAAAGAATGTAAAGTTTAAGAGGAATGGGGTTATTCGGGGGCAGGGGGCTGGATGAAGGTTTCTGGGGCCCATAGACAGAAAGCTTTGCCTATGCCCAGCTGGGAGGACCACTAATAACATCCCTCTCGCCTTCCAGGGCCCTCCCAGAGTCCCCTCTTCTTGGGGAGAGGGTGACAACTAGTGGATGGAGGGCCAAGTAGCAGTAACTTTGTTGCTGGCCAGGAATTGGATGAAAATTTTACTTAAGCTTGGTTTGGGGAAATTTTTTTTAAAAAAGGTACTTTAAAAAGGGAAAAGCTGAAAGGCAGCAGGAGAAGAAACTGCTAACAGGATCTGGAGTAAAATTCACTCCCTCTTAGAGAAAGTTGTACCCAAGTCACAAGACCCGAGACGGTCTTTATCCCACCACCCTGCTGCCCTCAGCTTCTTCACAGCTGCAGTGGCCCCAGTAGAAGTAGCCCTGCCTACAGACATGCAGGTCTAGGGCTTGCAGGCAGGAGGGACTCCCAGAAATCTGGCTCTGCCTCGGAACTGCCCTGGTTCCCATCCAGATATGTGCCTGGGTCACATCTCTGGAGTACGAGGCAGTAGTCTGAGAGCTTTGGGATTTCCATCCCAGTGCACATGAGCTGCTATCCTTCAAAGTGATAGACTTTACCGGTGTCTGCCCCCGGCCCAAAACTCAAAATCAACATGTATGCCCAAATTGGTCTATTTATATATTTTTTTAAAAGAGAAGTATTTTTTTTATTTGTTTTCATTTTTCTCTCCTTGCCAAGAGTTTAGGGGTTTGTGGCACATTTGTGGCTGCCTCAGTGTAAAGATCATGTTATTACTTATTGGCAATGTACTTGGTAGTGTCTTTTTATTTTCCAGTCACTTCCAATTTTCTTGCATAACATAAGTCCACTCTGTCAAATATTGAGGGGCACATCTCTTTCTCCTTGGATTTAGTCTACAGAATATTTCAGTTTAGAAATATTATAAATTACTATGATGACATAAAATTGGCTTGAAATGGATTTTGTTTCACTTTCTGGGTCCTTTGTAGCCAGTAGACAAACATTAAAGTGTCTTATACTTGAACTAAACTTAAATTTTATTGAACATTCAAAAAAATGTATTCCTCTATTTCGTCTGTTTCTGGAACCAAGATACTAAGGGCAAATACAGGATGTCTGTTTCATAGGATTGATAAAATGACACAATACTGTAGATTTGTGGAATCAAGACTTTAGAAATATGATCTATACTTAATAATTTCTATATATGACTTTCTAATTTGAATATAAAATTCATATGTGCTTTTCCTTTTCTTAGATCATTTGTGAGTTGATTTCAACCACAAAGACAAAATGCAAAGATTAACAAACAATCGTTTCTATCGTTCTTTGGTATGCTGGTTGAGAAATAAGTAAGTCATATAATCCAAATGTACTGAATTGTTTTTTTCCAGAATATTACAGGGGTACAAATGTTTTGGCTACATGAATTGTACTGACTTTAAACATAATTCTTAGCCTTAGTTAATGGAATAGAGAATACTCGTGTACCTTCTTTTGTAATAACTGTTAACTGTATGCAAGTAAAATTTGGCAAACTCATAATTTAAAGACCTCATTCTATGCCTGATTTTTCCTTAAAAATACTACTTTGTAGGCAGTGTGATAATATGCATATGCAGTCACTTTAACCACTTCGGTACCAGCACTGACTATAGTTGATAGCCACAGATGAACACGCACAGCCAAGCGTCGATTATAGTCCATAGCCACAGATGGACGCATGGACGCGCACAGCGACTTTAACCGACAGCCATGACATGAAGGCGCACAGCCAAACATTGACTTTAGCTGACAGCCGTGATATAACTTTTCTAATTTTGCATTTATCAAAATAAAATTGTGAACATTTAAAAATAACATAATGAAAACATATGTATATGTTACCTATTCAGATTTACATTACAAGTAAAGCTGTCTGTAAAGTAAAACAAGCTTTCAGTGCTTTAAAGCTTTCCTCATCACATAAGAGCAAAACGGATTCGTCGTCAATGCATAGCACAAATTATCGTGCAGACTATGAGTGCCAGCTGTGGGCAAGGTTTTGTGGCTGTTGAGTGTGGTACCAAAGTGGTTAAGCTTTTCCTATGGAGGCAGTTCATTGCCCTAATGGTGGATGCTTTGTTCAATGATGGTGAGCTAGTGTTCTACTTAGGAAGTCAGTCCACAGAGATGGTCTCTACAAGGGCTTCAGTTGCCCCATCTTGATTAACACCTGAAACATTGTTAATTACCACAGTGAAGGTAACCCCATAATCATTAAATAAGGCTGCCTATGTCAGAAACTCAAATTCTTGCCTTTTTGGTGGTCTGAATATCTTTCCCTGGTATGATTTATTATTGAATAGTAAATACAGTTGATCTTCCTGTTGAAAAGCAGCAGATACTATAAATGCCTTTCTTTTTGTAAAAGCTACTCTCCTTTTTCTAAGTCCTAGATGGACTTCCATGAGCCATTCTTCTAGGACATCAGAACTCCCACCTAGAAAGTTCCCTTTTTCATGGATCCTCAGCCCAGGCCAAGGGGATTTGATAATCTGAACTCCAGCCCTTCTTTATAAACAGACTGAAAGAATAACATAATATCAATGTCTATCTGTGCTTAAGAGTTTTGAGCTATTGATCAGAGTCCAAAATTGGCTTATGGAGGAGAACTTAAAGACATAAAGAAATACCATTTAAGATATGTTTCCAAAGTGTGTTTCTCACACATTTCTACTGTGAGAAAGAGGTTCTGTTTTCAAACAAGTTTAGGAACCTCAGCATAACCTGGTTCCCTCCTAGAGATTGCCTGTGCTTATCAGCAGCAAAGAAATATGTGCAATTTCTGAGATTTACTAAAATATTTCAAAAGTTAGGAAAGTGTTATGGTGACAGCATGGGTTCTTAAGTCAGATAGGTTCAAATGAGGTCTGCCTCATCCCAGGCTGGTGACAGTGGGCAAGTTACTCACCCTCTCTGACTCATTTCTTTCATCTGTAAAATAGAGATAACAATATTATAGACCTCATAGGATTATTATGAGAGTTAATGCATTGTTATATGTAAAGCATTTAGAATAGCACCTAACACACAGGTGCTATTATTGTTAATTCCTGTTAATATCTCCCAAACTAGTTTTCGATTATATGTACTTCAGGAAATGCTGGCTTAATGAAACATTTATTTGTTTCTTTCCTACCAATGACAACCAGGAAATAGCCCTTGATACTGGAATGTTCATTGTTCTGGAATTTTCTTTCTTTTTCTCTGTATCCTTTCAGAAGTCAGTACCTGAATCCAACTCCTCATCCCTGCGCTCTCAGGTCTTGTTCACATTTTCAAAATTGATTCCAGAGTGGCCTGGATGGTAAACAAAATAAGGAAGAAGAAAGGGGATGTAATCATGAATGCTATGCCTGCCTGTCTTCCTCCCTTCCTTTCTTCTCTTTCAAGTGAATACACACACACACACACACACACACGCAGCTCAGAGGCTGCCACAGAAACTGCACCCTGCTGCACCCTGAAACTGTTTCTATGGTTCCCATCACAGTTCCTTATGATTTTACATTTTTATGTCATGGAATGCTGTCAGGAAGAAAATCCTGATTGCCTTCCAAAATACCAAACTTTTAGTGTATATGATTGTTACTCGTTAGCAGAGTTATGGATGTTTTAACAGCCTCTAAAATAAATTCCAGCAACAATAACAACAACAGGTTAGTTGACTGAAATGAGTGGTAAAAGGTATTGACAGCATCAATAGAGGTACCAGGTTTCTATAACCACTATAAGAGTTTCTAGGTAACTTTCTTTCTTTTTGTAACTAAGTGGAAAAAATAAGAATAGGTCAGAAGAGGGACACTTCTTACTCACAGACCATTGGGGAACCTTAGTTCAGTAGCAGACAAAACCCTTAGGAAACTATCATAATGCCTGTGTCTGAGACTCTATCAAGAATGAGCCAAGATGGGAGGAACATTGAGCTTAGCAGTTTGAGACCAGCCTAAGCAAGAGCGAGACCTCATTTCTAAAAATAGAAAAATTAACTGGGCGCAGTTGCTTGTGCTTATAGTCCCAGCTATTCAGGAGGCTGAGGCAGGAGGATTGCTTGAGCCCAGGAGTTTGAAGTTGCAGTGAGCTATGGATGATGCCACACTGCACTCTAGCCCAAGATGACAAAAACAAGATTCTATCTAAAAAAAGAATAAACCAAGAGAGGAGAGAATCTTATTTGGAAGCAAGAAGGTAGTACAGGGAACAAAAAAGCCCTCCATGCAAAGATAGGAGCTAATAGACCCTTTATCTGTCCCTCAACCTCAAGAGTTCTCTACCACCATGTGAGGCTGGTGCCCCAAACGAAAACTACCATCACATTGGATGGAGCTCCTGCCTCAAGCTTGAAGTTACTTGATCCTATCTGAGGGGCAGGAAAGATATCTACGATTCACGATGAGCACAAAAGTGGTAGAGGAACTTGAGAAAATCAGTCTGAATTTGATGTGAAGCAAAATTTAAGCTCAAAATGCTGTTACATGTGATGGTTAGGTTCAGAAATAAAAACTATTTAAATCTTGATTCATTAAACTTTTTGGACAGGCTTAAAATTTTTCATTCAAACATATAAAGACTTATATCTAGGGAAAAATGAAATATTAGGTTCCAAATAACTGATTTAAATGAGAATTGTTTTAGGGCCAACAAACGTGTAATTTGTAGAATAACTATAGCCAATTTGAGCCAAAATAAGTAAGTATATGAATTTATGTTGTTACTTACTATATTCCTTTCTATCCTTTAGCACTAATCACGATAACGTGACATCAGAAAGCTTGGATGAAGTCAAAAGTGAAAGGTGATGCCTTTATACACACACACATATTTAGATATATATATATATATACACACACACATAAACACACATATGCATATATACACACACATATACATATGTATATAGATATGGAAAGAGAGGGAGAAAGACAGAAAGATGGGGGGAATTAAGATTGGTGAAATTCAGTTTCAGAATTTTTCATAGGAAACAGTTTTCAGGACAGTGATTCTGAAATTGTGTCTAAACATTTAGGTCATGTTTACTACATCTTTTAGACTCATACACATCATGGCTCAAAGTGGCAAATCTCTAATCATATGTTTTTGCATTTGTTGATATTTACAGTGAAATACAACTGCCAGGATTCAATGATGTTGATGAAGACATTGACTATCTTGCTTCATATGAGTAAGTCAGTTTGAAGTTTAGAGGGAGAGATCCATTGATGGATATTTAGGAAGACAGAGGTAGTGCTGAGGCAAGAAGGAAAAAGGAAACTATGGAAAGATATGGAAGGTATGAGAGAGAGAGTACATAATAATGATTCTAATTGAATTTGCAGACAAGTGCCACATTTGAAAAAAACTTCCCTTGATATGGAAATAAATGTTCTTTTAGCTTTAAAATGTGACAACCTTAGAAGAGAGTAACTTTACTGTAAGTTTCTTAACAGAGAAATACAGATTGCTACTCATTCTTCAATGGAGTTCTTTCTCATTATCCCTGGATATTACCTGATGCCCAGTTTTGCAGACTTTGTCTATGAGCAAATGGGACTGATAAAACCAAACATGTTTGGCTGACTAAAGGCCTCTCCATGCTCACTGAGATTTTATTAATTTTGATTTGTTTCTGAATAATCTCACCTGTAGTACTTCCTATTGCACTGATCTGAACGCATTTTACCATGGACTCATTGTAATGAAACAATAGATTCTTAAAATTGCTTGTGTCTGAACTTCAGAAATATTCAGGAGATTTTTTTCTTCTGCCTCTGTCTTGCCCAGTTATATAACCATTCACCAGCTTGTCAGTGTTGGAGAGAGTACTACCAAAGTACTACTGGTCACTGTTGCAATATGTTGATGTCTGAACAAAGATTACATGAGAAACAAAGGAGGCAACTGATGAATACAAACAGTTCTTCAAATTACCCTGAATTTCCATTTTCTAGAATTTTTTTGATCATGGACCATCAGTAAAGAGTTCATTGTGCCACTTAATGGTGTGCACATTGGCTGTATATTTTCTGCAATCGGGTTGCCAGGGCTGGGGCAAAATTTGGATAATTTAGGCAAGGCAAGCTTTCCCTTGTTACCACATTCTGAACAAAAGAAAGGTTTTTCTTTGGAGGATAAGCAGTAGTCCCTGTGACAAACACCAGTATTTCAGAGCAGGGGATAGTCTTGGATTTGGAGTAAAACCTAGAATCAGTGCTTGGCTTTGACATCTCATATTCACTTGACACTCAACAAATCTCTAAACATCTTTCAACTTTATTCATCTGTGACCGGTAATAATAATGTTATTTGCAGTATCTATGTACTGCGTATTATATAAAAAATTAATAAAAGTAAAATAATATATGTAGAAGTGCTTTTGAAAACTAAAGCTCTATAAATATGTTTAATGCTAAAACCCAAAATAACACCACCAAGTTCATTATAGGAAAAAAAGAATTCATCATTTGCAAACTAGATGTGCTCATTTAAAATTGAAATATTCAACTTTGTCATTGGATTGAAAAGCTACTTATTAAGCATATCAGTCCTTTTTATATCTTATGTAGTATAAGTAATTTTTCCCAGGTTGTCTTGCTTTTCATTATATAGAAATTTATAAGCTTTATGTAGTCAGATATAGTTAGTTGTTTTCTTTATGACTATTGCCTTTTGGGTTGTACTCAGAAAGTTCTCTTATCTTAAGATTATAAATATATTCACCATAATATCTTCTGCTATATTTTGAATTCATTTTCTACATTTAAATAAAGCATAGTAAGTGGTAGTATATTGTTACTGTTCCCTATTAATATCTTCCCAAAATAGTGTTCCATTAGATACAGTTTAGGAAATGCTGGTTCAATTATACCTTTAATATGACCCAAGATGTTGCAAGAACAAATAAATGCTGATAATGTTTGTGACATGTCTTATCAAAGGGTTTCCTGTGACATTTATCTATTCATTCATCACGTGCAGATTTGAAGTTTTATAGGCATGTGTGATGTGTAAAAGTTCATTTAAAGAATAATTTTCAGTGCACAAATGTTTAAAAGTGAAGTGTATGATGATGATGCAAAAATGAAATCTCCAAACATTTCAGTTATCACTAGGAAGACCTAATAGAATGTCTAACACCTACTTTTATAGATATCTAAAGTGTGAGAAAGATGATTTAGTTAACAAAAAGTAAATATGAAATTAAAATGTCTGTTTAAAATATCCAAATTCGGTTTCCTACTTAAGACTATGTATAAGATTCTTTTTAAAGACAAGCTAAATGCAAAATTATGAAATGAAATCTCTTATGTGAGATGATGGAAAGTAACTTCATGCCCTTTTAAAGGCTAGATGAGGAATTTGAATACTGCTTTCAGATCAAGTATCTCCTCTATTAAATATTACACTATTTCATGGTTCAAATCTTCATTGTGGTTGAGAGATGGCAGAGAGAATTAACGTAGTCTGGTTGACCCATGACACAAATCAGTTTCCCAGAGTTATATGTTCATGGGCACTATGGTTGGGCATCTACTGTGCAGCTTGGCATGTTCATGTTTCCAGGCACACTAACCATATTAATCAAATTTGCAACACAAATTGACACATTTGAATCCCAGATTATTGAGTCTGATACATAGTTGGAAGGGGTCAGAATGTTAATAATAGTTGGTCACCACATTCTCTTCCCAGGATATATATCTTCTTAGAACACCCAATCAAGATATGTTGAGGAGGATAGTCAGGATAAGGGGCAGTTGGGTGGTTTCAAGGACCACGTCCCAACTGGTCCAGGAAACCTCTGTCAATCTGGTCAAAGCTCATGGTATAGCAGCCAATGTGAAATCTTTGAAACCTCTTCTTTTACTCTATCTAGGCCCAATCCCTTTCATAACGTTAGAACCTTCATATCACCATAAGTTAGATCCTGATGATCTGACATCATTTTTAGTCAACTAGCTGAGACCAGGAGACTTGCTGTTCCCTTGAGTCCCATCCATCATTTATTTACAGATCATCTGTAGTCAGTTACTTGTGCTGCCGACTATTCCTATTTGTTTTGTGTGGATTCTCAGCAGTCTTAGTTTCTGAGTGTGACATCTTCTATGGATTGAGGGTGACAGCATGGCATGGAGTTTTCTTTCCTATTCATGGTGATTGTGGCATTTTGTGAAGGGATAGCACATATTTATGATGCCTGCCAAGCAGGAGAATTCCAAGTAAAGCATCGGTCAATATTTTAGAACCAAATGATTCTCAAGTAACTTTTTTAGAATATATTACAACAAAAGGAAATGGTTCTATGTTTCTAGTAGGTTTTATTATGCCTATCTTGAAGTTTTGACTCCCACAATATCAGTAGAAGAAATTAAATCTGGGACAAAATTGTACAGTGTCCAATGGTGTTCTTGCTTAGAATTTGCAGTAGAATAACTATATTTGAACTCATTGCTGAGGTTTGTAAAGTTCTATTTCATGTGTTTGTATGGCTTCCAATGTTCCTCTTATTATTGATTTCTAGTTTTATTCAGTGGCCAGAGAAAGTACTTGATATGATTTTAATTTTTTAAATTTTTTAAGACTTGTTTTGTGGCCTAACATATGGTCTATCCTTGAAAATGATCCATGAGCTAAGAAGAACATGTATTTTGCAGCTTTTCAATGAAATATTCTGTAAATCTCTGTTAGGTCTATTTGGTCTGTAGTACAGATTAAGTCCATTGTTTCTGTGTTGAATTTCTGTCTGGATGATCTGTCCAATGCTAAAAGTTGAGTGTTGAGGTATCCAACAATTACTGTATTGGAGTCTCTCTCTTTAGCTCTGATATTTGCTTTATATGTCTGGGTGCTCCAGTATTAGATACAGATATATTTAGAATTGTTATATACTTTTACTAAGTTGACTCCTTTATATTATGTAATGATCTTCTTTGTCTCTTTTTATAATAGTTTTTGTCTTGAAACCTATCTTATGTGATAGAAGTATAGCTACTCATGCTCTTTTTGGATTTCCATTTGCATGGAATATATTTTTCCATCCCTTTATTTTCAGTCTATGTGTATCTTTATAGTGAAATGGATTTCTTATAGATAATATATAGTTGAGTCTAGTTTTTTTTATCCATTCAGCCACTTTTCATCCTTTGATTGGAGAGTTCAGACCATTTATGTTCAATGTTATTAATGGTAGGTAAAGATTTACTACTAACATATTGTTATTCGATTTCTGGTTGTTTTGTGGTCTTCTCTTTGTTTCTTCTTTCTTTTCTGTCTTCCTTTGTTAAAAGTGATTTTCTGTGGTAGTGTGTTTTAGTTTCTTACCTTTTTTTGACAGAGTCTCACTCTGTTGCCCCAGCTAGAGTGCAGTGGCATCATCATAGCTCACTACAACCTCCAACTCCTGGGCTCAAGCAATCTCCTACCTTAGCCTCTTGAGTAGCTGGGACTACAAGTACACACCACCACACCTGGCTATTTTTTCTATTTTTTGTAGAGATAGGGTCTCACTCTTGCTCAGGCTGGTCTCAAACTTCTGACTTCAAATGATCCTCTTGCCTGGGCCTTGCAGAGTGTTAGGATTATAGGTGTGAGCCACCACACCTGGCCAATTTCTTGCTTTTAATTTTTTGTGTATTCATTATAGATTTTTTGATTTGAGGTTACCATGAGGCTTGTAACAAACACTTTATAACCAATTATTTAAATGTATGACAACTTTGCTTATAAACAAACAAGCAAATAAAAATCTCAAAGAAATTCTACAGTTTAACTGCATCCCCCTGCTTTTTAAGTTTTTATTATTTCCATCTATATTTTTTATACTATCTTTCAAAAAGTTATTGTAGTTATTTTTGATAAGTCCATCTTTTAGTCTTCCTATTCAAAACATGTGTGGTTTGTCTATACAGTGCAATTACAGTACTAGAGTATTCTGTATTTGTGTACTTACTATTATCAGTGAGTTTCATATCTTCAGATTGTTTCCTTTTGTTCACTAATGTCCTTTTATTTCATATTAAGATCTCTTTTTAGCATTTCTTATAGGACAGGTCTGGTGTTAATGAAAACCCTCAGCTTTTGTGTCTGGGAAAGTCGTTATTTCTCATTCATGTTTGAAGGCTATTTTTGTAGGATATAATATTCTAAGGTTAAGATTTTTTTCTTTTAGCAGTTTGAATATGTCATGCCACTCTCTCCTGACCTATAAGATTTCCACTGAGAAGTCCAAATGTATTGGAGCTCCTTGTTATATTATTTTTTTCTTTCTTCTCTTAGGATCTTTTCTTTACTTGTGAACCTTGCAAGCTTGATTATTAAGTGCCTTTAGGCATATTAATTAATAGTGCCTCCTTTTCACTTTCAGAAGTGTCCTGCTTTGGGTAAGGAGTTATATAGTCATGATCATTTAAAGCTAGGACTTAAGTTGTGTCTTTCTCAGTAATTTTAACATGAGGAAAGGTCATGAGCCCCAGGGCAGAGAGTCTCAGGAATCATGAAACACCATGGCCAGGCAACTCCTCTGGGATGTTAAAAGGAAAAACCTTAGACAAGTTAAATTTAACAGAGCTTAACTATGCAAAGAATGATGCATGAGTTGAGCAGCCCTCAGAACCAGAACAAATTCTATGAACTCCAGCTTGCCACATGGTCAGTCTGCATTTATGGACAGAAACTGGAAGTGAGGTAGAGACAGCTTAATTGGTTACAGCTAGACTGTTGTTTTATTTGAACCAGTTGGCCACCTGCAGTTGCCTGAAGCTCAGCTGCTGAAATTGACTGAGACTCAGCTATTTGTTGTAAGAGTACACTCCTGAGTAGGCTTTCAGTTAGTTTACACACTAAGTTAGGTTGCAGTTAGTTATGGTAAGGACTCAAATATGGAAGCATCCTCATGACAATTTTTTTTTTTTTTTTTTTTTTTTTTGAGACAGAGTCTTGCTTTGTTGCCCAGGCTAGAGTGAGTGCCTAGCTCACAGCAACCTCAAACTCCTGGGCTCAAGCAATCCTCCTGCCTCAGCCTCCCGAGTAGCTGGGACTACAGGCAGGTGCCACCATGCCCGGCTAATTTTATATATATATATATTAGTTGGCCAATTAATTTCTTTCTATTTTTATAGTAGAGACAGGGTCTCGCTCAGGCTGGTTTTGAACTCCTGACCTTGAGCAATCTGCCCGCCTCGGCCTCCCAGAGTGCTAGGATTACAAGCGTGAGCCACCACGCCCGGCCCTCGTGACAAATTTAGTTTAACAAAAAAGAACTCCTGCAGCGGAGAAGACAGTCACCCTAGGTTGTAACCTGGGCTTCGGAGATGTAGGCGATGGAGGAGCGAAGGCCCGAAGATTGCTCCTCCTCTCTTCCCTATTTTCATCAGCAGAACTGATGCTACTCTGATTTTACTCTACTTAGACCTGGGTAGTTGCTGCTGATTTCTGTCGAAAGGCAGTGATGCTCCCTAACCAACTCCAGAGGAAAGCAAGAACAGAACTTTGAAAGCATTCCGCCAGCTTACCTCCTCAAGACTGCTTGGCAGCCCTGCTCCTCAGAGTGTCCATCAGTTAAGGCATAGCTCTCACTCCTCTGCATCTCCTAGGAAGGAGAGTTGTTATTTATTGGGATGCATTCTTCCATTCCAGTTCTGTAGTTTTGGGAGGATGATGCAGCATGCTATTTGTCATTTTGAAGGGAATCCACAATTTCTCAGGGCATCATTGCAGGATATTACTTTGATGAGAATGTTTGTGTTATTGATATTAAAGACATATATCAGTTTATATTGTTGTCACATACTGATTTTTGTGGCATAACATTTGATGAAGTGAGCAGGTTGTCTAAAAACCGCTAGTTACAAAATGGTGAATATTCAGCATGATTTTATGAGGTTGACAGATATGTGTGTTTTCATGTGTCTTAATTTACAGATAAGGAAATTAAGTTGTTGAGAGATTACACAAGCCAGTGGTTTGGGCAGACAGGAGTCTTGATTTTGGGTTATGTGGCCAAATATCTTTTTGAAAATGAAGTGGGAGAAAAGGAAAAAATATTCTATTAATCTAGTTATATCAATAGTCACTTTAAATGTGAATGCTCTACTATATCAATTAAGAATAGAGACTTTCAGAGTTGATAACAGAACAAGATCCAACTATATGCTGTCTATAAGAAATCCACTTTAAATATAAAAACACAAGTAGATTAAAAGTAAAAGAATAAAATATACCAGGCTAACACTAATTTTAAAAAATCAGGAGTAGTTATATTTATTTCACACAAAGCAAACTTCTCAGAGTAAGGAAAATTATCAGGTATAACAAGGGACATTAAATATTAATAATAGTAAAGGAGTTAATTTTTCTGAAAATATAACAATCCTTAATATGTAGATACTTGACAACAATGCATGAAAATGTGTGAGGCAAGGCCTATCTTAGATGATGAGCCAGTTCCACATTAACACAGACCTATGCACAAAAGTGGCAAGCAGTGCACAGATTTTTAAACTAAAATATAAGGATGATAGCAAACTAGATTTTGTTTCAGTTAGAGGCAAATTAGAGTGGCTGGAGGTTGCAGGTACAGCAGGGATTTCTAGACAAAATGAAGAATTCTGAGCATTAAGTGAACATACAGGAATAACATTCATCAGGTGTTGGGCAGATGGGAGGTGGGAGGACTGGATGGGTATATACATACATAATGAGTACAATGGGCACCGTCTGGGGATAAGACATGCTTGAAGTTCGGGCTGGGGGATGCGCGGCAAGTGCAGTATATAGAACCTAAACATTTGCACCCTCATAATATGCTGAAATAAAAATATAATCACCCAGTTCATGCCCAGAGTAACTGTAATGATGTATCTGAAAAAGTACATTTACAATGATGTGTTGAATCTGACCTTATTATTTTATATTCTCTTAGTCCTAACATGGCTGAACGCACAGAAGTGGCATCTGATGGACAACAACAACCAGTGTGAGTTCAACTAGATAAATAGAAATATATGTGTGTGTGTATGTATGTACATATATGCAAACTTATGCACATAGATAAATAATGATATGCACAGACATACTAGGGTCAACACACATACATAAACAAATATGCACAAACAAAAAAAAAATAGAAGACAATTAAAGAAACACATTGGCATTTGTGAGATTTACCCTCAGGAGCATTCATGTCCATACACAGTGTTCTTATGACATTGTTTTAAAATCTTCTCACTGTACCATTTTGCGATAACTTTCCATCATTTATAGATTGAGGTGAATAAAGGAGAGCTAGTCCCAAAAGTGTTGCTTCTTCCATTAGTGTATCTCTCACCATTAGTTATTACTAGCCAATTCTTGGGGAAACAAGGCGATTCCCTGCCTATGAGAATCTGCATTCTGGTGTGCCCTCTCCTACTTAAATGGGCCAGGAGAGGAGACAGTCCCATTTGGAGCAAGTAGGAGGTTGCAATGGACCAGGAAGACGGAAAGACTAAGAAAAAAGGACAGAGCAAATAGTACCCAGATTGGTTTCTCTCTCTCCAGAGCTCTGTCAACTTGTTAGGCTTGTGTCTAAACCTAACCTCACTATCACATTAGATGGACCCCTTGTCTTCTTAGCCTGCAGTTCATTGATCCTTTCTCAGACAGGAAGATAAGCATGAAGCAGCAAAGTAAGGAGGTGATGGAGAGACATAGGAAGCAGGAAATGAGATGGATTACAGAGCTGACCACCTACAAACAATAGATGCATTTAAAACTAATCCACTGCAAAAAGACTGTTACATATTGGGATTAAGTTTGGCAGTGAAAATAACTTTTAAAATGTTGATTCATGAAGGCTTCTTTCAAGAGGCCTAATAGTTTCATTGCTACCATACAATGCCTCATTTCCAGGGAAAAATTAAATACCAATTTTTAAATAGCCAAATTACCCCTGAATGTCTTTAAGTTGAATCACTTTATTTGTTCTTTATATATTGTAGCTGATTTGAATGAAAAAGTCAGTCTATGAATTCACATTGTGTTTCATTATCTGAATTCTTCAGGTCTGGCTAAAAGGAAGTAATCTTAATAACATATGATGCTATCAGATATGTGTGTGTGTGTGTGTGTGTGTGTATCAATTTAAAAAATGTAAACATACATATAGATATATAAAATATGCACAGATATTACATATAGACTGCCTTGGACTCTGTTTCTAAAGTATTGACAGTGTCAGATTCTGTGTGTAATACACGTTCCTTTTTGGATGTCCTCCGAGAAAAGAAGTCAGAACAGGTCAGAAGGAAGCAGACCACTGCCTCCCACCCTAGTGACTGTCAACCAAAACCTTTAGGAAACTATCAGATTGCCTGTGTAGGAGACTCTAGTAGACAGGGCTATCGTAGTTTGTCAAGCTGCCATAACAAAGTTTCACAAACTCAGTGGCTGAAACACCACAATTTTATTATCTCACAACCCTGGATGCTAGAAGTCCGAATTGAAGGTGTTGGCAGGGTGGGCTTTTTATGAGGGCTGTGGGGCAGACTGTTTTCTGTGCCTCTTTGCTAGCTTTTGCTGGTTGCTGGAAATCTATGGCATTCCTTGGCATGTAGACTCTTCACCCACATCTCTACCTCCATCTTCCCATGAAATTCTGTGTGTGTGTGCATCTGTGCCAAATTTTCCCTCCTTAGGATACCAATCATATAGGATGAGGGGCCCACCTTACACCACTGTGTCATCCATCTTAACTACGCAAGTTTGCAATTACTCTATTTGAGAATAAGATTGCATCATCATTTAGAGGCATTAGAACTTCAGTATTTGAATAGGGCCCAGGGGTGGCGGTTTTGGGGGGCAGAGTGTGGGGCACGATATTCTATCTTTAAAAAGGAACAAGTGAGGAGAAATCCTTTCTGGCATCGAGGAAGAGGTAAAGTGAAATGGAGCAGTAGACCCCTAAGCTGAAAAGATGAAGCTAAGTAGACTTTGGATGTGCTTCTCACCGTCAAGAGCTCTGGTACCATGTAACACTGGTGTCCAAAATTTCAGCCCCCTCTGATATAGGATGGAGCCCCTGACGTAGGGGGAGAGTCTACAATGTATTGAGATTAAGGGAATAATTTGGACTTTTCCTAGTCTTAAATCTGGAAGCATTACTATTTCACAGGGCTAAGATAATTATTATGAGTACAGAAAGCCTCATTTCTAATAAACAGTGATTTTATATTGAATTCGTGACACACACATGGATATTGAAAAATCAAACAATGCATGCCTAGAGTAATTGTACCAATTTATCCCAAACAGTAAATTTAGAATTATGTTTTATGTTTGATTGTATTCTTACATACTCTCTTAGTGAAAACCAAGAGGACCTGATAGAAATCATCACTGAAGCTCCAGTGTATGAAAGGTGAGTTACAAATAGATAAATGAAGATATATGTATGTCTGTATAGGTATATACAATCTTACACACACACATATATAAATAAACATACAAAGAGACATACTCCTATTAACACACATATATACATAAACATGCATATCCTACAGATAGAAGACGAATAAAAAGACAGATTGACATGTCTGAAACTTACCCTCATGAGCATACATGGCCATACAGAGATTTTTTTTTTGACATTTTTTCTGCATCTTCTCATTGGAGCATTTGGAGGTAACTTTCCATCTTTCCTAGACTGAGGTACACAAAGGCGAGCTGGTCACAGGAGAGTTGATTTGTGCTGATCATGTATTTGTCCACTCAGTTATTAGCAGCAAATTCCTTAAGAAACCATGAGATTCCCTGTGTATGAGACTCTACATTCTAGTGCGCCCTGTCCTGCTAGAAAGAACCAGGAGGGGAGAAAATTCTATTTGCAGTAAGGAAGATATTTCAGTGGACCAGGAAGAGGGAAGCACTCAGCAAAAAAAAACCACAGAGCTAATGGAAATGAATTCGGTTCTCAACCTCCAGAGCTCTGTCAGCATGTGAGACTGGTGCCTAAACCGAACCTCAGTATCACATTAGATGGAGCCCTCGTCTTCTTACCGGCAGCCACTTGATCATGTCTCAGGGCCAGGATGACAAGCATGATGCATGAAATAAACAGGTGATGGAGGACATACCAAGGGGAGCACGTGGACTGAAACACAAAGCAGACTACCCTCAACCTTAATTTGAATGTAAAACTACTGTCACCAGAAAAGAGTCTTACACATTGGGATGACCTTAACAGTGAAAATGACTTTAAAAATCTTGATTCATTAAAGCTTCTTTCAACAGGATTTACAATTTCATCACTAGCATATAATGCCTCACTTATACAGAAAAATGAAATACCAGTTTTTAAAAAGCAAATTTACATATGTATTTCCTATACTTTCATCAGTTTATTAGTTCTATAGATATTGTAGCTAATGTGAATGAAAAAGTAAGTCTGTGACTACACATAGCATGTGACTATGTGAAATTTAACTCTTTAGCTTTGACCTAAATGAGCTGACATGACTCATGTATGATGGAATCATATATCTACATATATATAAATATCTCCTTATATAAATATACATAGAGATATATAAAAATATTCAGAGGTTTTGAAAATAAACTTTCTTGCACATTGTTTCTAAGGTATTGGCAGTGTCTGCTTCTGTGTGTAACCCCCTTTCCTCTGTGTATCTAGTCGAATAAAAGAGAGCAGAACTGGTCAGAAGGAAACAGACCACTGCCTCCTACCCAGGTGACTGCCAGCCAAAACTTTTAGAAAACAGTCGGATTCCCTGTCTACGAGACTCTACTAGAGAGGGCTGTAGCAGTTTCTATAGCTGCCCTAATGGATGATCACATCTGAGTGGCTGAAACACCAGCAATTCCTTATCTCACAGTCCTCGGGACTAGAAGTGCAAAACGAACATGTCTGTAGGGTTGGCTTTTTATGAGGACTTAGGGCAGAAACTGTTGTATGCCTCTTTGCCACCTTTTGCTGGTTGCTGGCCTTCTCTGGCATTCCCTGGCATGTACTGATCATCCAGATCTCTGCCACTGCCGTCCCGTGAAATTATCCGTATGTGTGAATGTATGCCCAAATTTTCCCTGTTTATGGGGATATAAATCATATTAGAGTAGGGGCCACCCTACACTTCCATGACCCCGCTACTAACTACACATGTTTGCAATTACTCTAATTGAGAATAAGGTCACATCACGAGTTACAGTGATCAGAACTTCAGGGATTGAATTGGGGGTAGATAGTGCACCTTTACAGGAACAGGTGGAGGAGTTAATCATGTATCTGGCTAGAAGAGGATGTGGAAACAGAGAAGGTAGGGCACTGAGGGACACAGGACAACAGTGATAGCTTTGCCCTGGAGAGCTGTGTACCATGGTAAGGATGGCTATCCAGAATCCAGCCACTTCATTGGATGGGCCCTGAACTCAGGGGGAGAGGATATGGGACAGTGAGACAGGCGAGAGCTGTAAGGAACAATAAGAGTGTCTTAAATCTGGAGCATTACTATTTCACAGGTAGGATATTTATCCACACTATAGAACTTCATTATCTATAAAAGATGACCTCGTGGTTAGCACTACAAAGATATTAAAATAACCAGTTGAGCATTGCAGAAGTATCAAACACCAACCGTACCCATCAATACATGAGTGGCTAACATGGTGTATGTGTGCCACATGGGACGTACGTTGTTCAGCTTACGGACACACATAGGTAGATATGCAGCGCTTTTTATGATCCGGTTGATAGGGTGGTTCATTCTCGCAAGTGAGCTATTCCAAGAATGGGAAAAATAAGCACAATATACTCTTATCACATTGTTTTTGTGGATCATATAAGAATATATTCATCAGGTATCTGGCAGATGGGAACGTGGAGAGGACGAGATGGGTATACTATTAGTCGATGGGCACATTTGGTATTGGAAGTTGAAAGCTCTGATTGAAGGGGTTGCAAATGACCTGAATACATTATGTACCCCATAATATAGCAAATACAAGAGATAATATCACAGTTCATGCCAGGATTACTGTAAGCTGTATCTGAAAAGTGATGTCTTCTCACAGTGATGTGTCTTGAATCTGACTTATCTCTATATTCCTTAGTCCTAACCTGGGCAAACCTACAGAATACATTGGACGGACAACCAACCAGTGTGAAGTTCAATTAGATAAATAGGAAACCCTATAATGTATGTGTGTATGTATGTAGATACCTACAAACGTTAGCCATAGAGTAAATAGATGATATGTACAGACATACTAGGTCAACATACAGTACATAACAACATCTAACCAAGGACGCCTCGCGCCCATGAAGAAACCACATTTGGCTTGCCATGTTTTACCGTCAGGAGATTCATGTTCGTACAGAGTGTTCTATATACATGTTTAAGATCTCCAGCTGTGCATTTGGAGCCGTACTTTCATCATTATAGATTTAGCTGGTAAAAAGGGGAGCTAAGTGTCAGACAATGTTGTCTTCCTGTTGAGTGGTATCTCTTTAGTTATTACTAGCACATTTTGAGGAAACACGTTTCCGCTGCACAGTGAGACTCCTGCGTTCTGGTGACCCTTCACCTACTCGATAGCAGGAGAGGAGAAGTCCTTTTGAGGCAAGTACGCAGGTTGCAAATGACCAGGAAGAGGGAAGACTAAGGAAAGGAGCAGAGCTATAGTACCTGGATTGGGTTCTCAGTGCCAGAGACTCGTCATAACATTGTTAAGCAGTGGTTGTCTAACTTAACGTCTTCACATTATATGGACCTTTGTTTCTTAGTTGCGGGTTCATTGATCCGTTTCTCATACAGGAAGATAAGCATGAGCGCAGTAGACAACGTGATGGAGAGACATAGAGCAGCAATGGTGAGGAATAGTACAGGCTGACTCACCTCAAAACAATAGATGCATTTAAATTAACTACACACTGCAAAATGCTTACTATTGGAATAAGTGGTCCGGCAGTGCCACTTAGGTAGGACAGGGGACTGGGATAGTAGTTCGTCAGGTGCAGTAACAACAGGTTCAAAACTGGGTACAGAACAACCAAACATTTATTATTCACAGCCATAGATCCCAGAAGTCCAAACTGCAAGTGCTCGAAGGTGGTTTTCTCTCGGCGCTCGTAGGGGCAGACTGTGTTCTGTGCCTCTCTGCTAGCTTTTGCTAGTTGCTGGAAATCTGTAGCATTCCTTGGCCTGTAGACTCTTCACCCACATCTCTACCTCCATCTTCCCATGAAATTATGCATGTGTGTGCATCTGTGCCAAATTTTCCCTCCTTATGAGGATACCAATCATATAGGATGAGGGGCCCACCTTACACCACTATGTCATCCATCTTAATTACACAGGTTTCCAATTACTCTATTTGAGAATAAGGTTACATCATCAGAGGCATTAGAACTTCAGTAATTGAATTCAGCCCTGAGGAAGAAAGAGGGGCAGAGCGTGGGGTAGGATATTCTATCTTTAATAAGGAACAAGTGAGGAGAAATCCTTTCTGGCATCGAGGAAGAGGTAAAGTGAAATGAGCAGTAGAGCGCTAGGCAGAAAAGATGAAGCTAAGTAGACTTTGGATGTGCTCATCACCATCAAGAGCTCTGTTACCATGTAACACTGGTGTCCGAAACTCCAACCCACTCTGATATTGGATGGAGCCCCTGACTTAGGGGGAGAGTCTACAATGCATTGAGAATAAGAGAATAATTTGGACTTTTCCTTGACTTAAGTCTGGAAGCATTACTATTTCAGAGGCCTAATATAATCATTACCAGTACAGAAGGCCTCATTTCTAATAAACAATGACCTTTTATATTCAATTCATGACATATACATGGATATTGAAAAATCAAACAGTGCATGCCTAGAGTAACTACCAATTTATCCCAAACAGTAAATTTAGAATTATGTTTTATATCTGACTGTATTCTTACATATCTCTTAGTGAAAACCAGGAGGATGTGATAGAAATCATCACTGAAGCTCCTGTGCCTGACAGGTGAGTTACAAATAGATAAATGAAGATATACATGTGTCTGTATAGGTATATACAATCTTACACACAGACATATATAAACATAGAGACATACTCCCATTAACACACATATATACACAAACATGCATATCCTACAGAAATAGAAGACAAAGGGATAAATTGACATGTCTGAAACTTACCCTCAGGAGCATCCATGGCCATACAGAGGTTTTTTTTGACATTGTTTCTACATCTTCTCATTGGAGCATTTGGAGGTAACTTTCCATCTTTCCTAGATTGAGACAGACAAATACCAGCTGACCACAGGAGAGTTGCTTTTTCCTGTTTGTGTATTTGTCCACTTAGTTATTGGCAGCAAATTCCTTAGGAAACAATGAGATTCTCTGTGTATGAGACTCAGGGTAT